AGTTTGGAAGTGTTTTTAAATAGCTGTTTTTGGTTAAAATGATTTTGGGACCAATTCTTACTAAAAATGCAAGTGAATGAAACACTTCAAGTGCTTTTCGAAACCAAAAGCATTTTCATTAAACGCGTTTTCAGTCATTTTAAAAGTACTTCTAAATGAATCCATTATTTAATGAACAATATTCTTATGATGAGTACTCTTTGCTTTCGTAAAAGGAAAAGCGGACTACACAATAAGAGGCTCAACCATAGCCCGGGGGGGATTGAAACATGTTGGGCACCATTACTTAGGTAAATGTATTGGTTTTATAAGGCAATAATTGTTGGATATATGTCAACAATCTGTGATAAAATTATATATGCTAATAAATAATAAATGCAAATTTCGATTCAGTACATGTTTCACACTTATGATTAAAATGAATTTCGAATTTAGGTAATAATTCTAATTTTAACCATTCTTTGCATGGAACGAAAACTAACATGTCCTAATCTAGCATGACAAATATTAGAAGACTCAACAATATAAGTAGAAACATTTATTTTATTAGCATCATCAATGACAATTACATTGATTCCACGAGGTCATCAGTCACATAACCCTTTCCAACAAACATCCCACCCTTGGTAAGTACAAATTTGTTGGATTCCATTACAAGTTTAAAGCCCTTAGCAATCAGAATAAGTCCAGAAACCAAGTTCCTCCTCATTTCAGGAACATGCAACATGTTTAGCAAGGTGAGACTCTTTCCAGATGTGAATTTGAGTACCACTTTGCCTTTGCCCTCCACCGCAGATAAGGCAGAATTGGCCATATATAGCTTTTATACTCGGTTAATTTCCTATTTGCATTTATTATTTATTAGCATATATAATTTTATCACAGATTATTGACATATATCCAACAATAATGCTATTCTTACCACAATTTTATATCATATTTCTTTACCATCTTAGATGGCAGATGAGTTGGACAACCACATCATCTAAATTAATTAGCATTTAATCAAAATGTTAATCAATAATTAATAAAAAGATTGTTAATTAAATGATAATTGTGGTATACAAGGAGTCTCCTTCTTCCACCTAAGATTATTTAAGTGTTTTAATTAATAAAAAAATTGAAATTAAATGATGTAGTTTGTCCAACTCATCTGTCATCTAAAATGGTAAAGAGATATAGTATAAATTTGTGGTAAGAATAACATTACTCTTTATAACATTTTTTTGTATAAAATTGTGATTTTTTCTGATTGTTAAGACGGCAATTTCCCTGCATTGTCCTAGAACATTTTTTTGTTAGACTCGAATTCTTAGGAACAAATAGATCCTGCAAGATGCTTTAGTTTTAAATTGTAGAGAAACCTTACAAGGCAACTGAGCTTGATCAGTGCCCATGTCCACTGTATACTTTCTAAGACCATCTCCAACAATGGCTTATAACCTAAAATTCCCCTTTTTTTTTTCCCCAAAACCCACTCCAACCCATGTGGTAAATAAAACCTAAAACCCAAAACTTAAAAGAAGGCCAAATACCAGCCCGTTTTTAGGCCAAAACTCATTATGGGCCCTACCTGTTGTGAGTGAAACACGGGCTGTGCAGCCCACTTTCCTTTCATCCTATCTCCCACGCGCCACACGCGCCAAAACATATCCCCACCCGACAGCCCCACGTGGGCTGTTCCCTGCGCAATAATTGCAACAAAGTAGTCGTTGGGCTGCTTTATAAATCAAACGATGACTGATTACTTGGCCGTTGGTTAATCCAACGGTCCAGGTTCAAATTTTTTTTTTTTTAGTTTTATATTTATGTATTTATTGAATCCAACGGCTTAGATCAAATATAATTAAATATAACGGTAAAAAAAAAGATCTAACGGTCCAAATTTAAATCCAACGGCTAGAATAATTTATAAAAATTATTTAACTTAAAATTCAACTAAAAACTCTATAAATACCTATGTATTTGTTCAAACATCCACACAAAACTCACTTTTCTCCTACAATTCTTCCAATTTTTCTTTATACCATTTATTCTCATTTCTAGAATTTTCAAGATGGCAAAAGAGCATGTTAGAGGTCGTAATTGGACATTTGACGAAGATATTGCTTTATGTTTGGCATGGATTTCGATTAGCGAAGATGGTGCCGTCGGCACCAATCAAAATAGAAAGGTTTTATGGGGTAAAATCGTTGATAAGTTTCATGAAAACTCCAACGCCGGTCGAAGGGAAGTTGGTGGTGTTTATGATCGGTGGAAGATTATCAACAAAGCGTGCACTTTGTGGAAAGGAAGCTTGGAGAGAGCCATGGTTGACATGCCTAGTGGAAGGGGCGCCTCAGAAATTGTGAGTTTATTTGTTGATATTTTAGTTGTCATGTACATAATAGTATTTTGCAACTAATTGTTTTTATGTATTTGTTGCATAGGGTGACAAAGTAATGGCAATTTACAAGACAAGAACTACACCAAAAAATCAAGCTTTTAAGTTGCATCATGCTTGGAACATCCTCAAGGATTGTCCGAGGTGGGGAACCGATGCGAACCAACAATGTGGAAGATTATTTCATAATGAAGTCCCACCCCCAAATGATGTCAATGAAGGTGTGAATTTTGCCGACAATGAAGGTGTCGAACAAATGACCCCAACTTCTTCTTTTGCAAGGCCCCCGGGTAGAGATAAGCAAAAGGAAGCAAAGAGAAAAGGGAAGTCCCAAGATCCGACACGTGCACAATTTGCTAGCGAAATGACAATAATGAAGGAAATCCAGTGCCATCGGCAAGAAGAATCGGCCCAAATGCTTTTGGCCATGAAGGAAGAAGGGGATAGGGAGAAAGAAAGGTACGAAACTAATTTGATAATGGAGGACCTCGACAAATACACTCCAGAGAGGAAGAGATACTTACGTGGTAAGCAAAAGGAAATTTTACGAAGGAATGCCACAAGGAGTATATTTCAAGATGATGATTCATCTCAAGACTATCACCCAAGTCCATCACCAAGTCAAGATGGTGAATATCATTATTAAGTTTATGTAGTCTATGAGTTTTCGATTGTATTAAGTTTATGTAGTTTATTAATTGTTTTTTTTATTTTTTAAGTTTATGTGGTTTATTAATTGTCTTTTTTATTTTTTAAGTTTATGTGGTTTATTAAATGTCGTTGGTATTAAGTTTATGTTGTTTATCTTGATTTTCATGTATTGATTTAGTGATTTTTCAAAATTTATCGGAATTTAAATATTTTTAGGTTAAAATGTTCATAAAATTAATTTAGGATAATCTACATAAATTTTTTTTTTAAAAAGTTAATTTAAAAAAAAAAAAGCCTTAATTCATTCTTTGATAATCTGGAGCTAAAATTTTAAGCCAGAAGGGTTGGAGTAGAAAAGCTGTTTTTGGGCTAAAACCTAAATTTTCTGGGCTAAATATTTTTAGGTTTTAGGTCATCATTGGATCATGGTCTAATGGTTCTTAATTTGGGGATACAAAAATAGGTGAGTGACACAAGGCAAAGCTACACCCGACACGAAGATCTTAATAGTGCCTTTGCCAGTGAAGCCTCTTGGGAACGTTCTCCTTCTCATACTCCTACTCGAGGAACACCGAGGCCCAATGAAGGAAGATATGGTGCAATTTGACAGTTACGACACTGAATACACTGGATATCAGCTAACTTGTACCAGTATAACAAACAAAGGTTTAGAAGTTTCACTGCAAAATGTTTGTCTTTCAACGAGATCAAATTTTCATAGCACGGTAATATTGTGATTCAAACGAATTCATTTCATATCATGTTAATTTGTTTTAATTAACGACTATAGTTTATGAGATTTGAAATCAGAATCTTTTTTAACAAAGTACAAATTGAATGCGACTAGACCAAATAGTCTGACGCTCGTCGGTTAATATGTCAAAAGCAATGTTAGGGATTATACTTGCTATATGTAATGGCATATGCTTTTATTTGCAATTAAGGGATGCTTACAGGAGTAGTTCTCCTACCCAGCCTACGATATCTTTATTATAGATTGGACCGTCCAGATTAACCTAATATTCCCGTTACCATATGCTTTGGATTAAACCAACTTTTGTAATATGCCCAAACAGGCGTATGTATGCAACAGGACAACACATTGAACGCACCACAATTATCTATGAGAATTATTGATCCTCGAGTCAAAAGGCCACGAAGCTTCATGATTAACGGAAAAAATTAATGATTAACCAAATAATGGAATCAATGTCAACTCATGAAACAGTAGGGATAGCAAAAGGAAACAATTAGACAAGACAAGACACAAATGCTAGGGTTTTTTTTATTTTTATTTTATTTTTTATACAAGCATATTCGGGGAGCCGGAAATTGGGCAATTTTTACACTAGACGGAACTAGTTCGGGATCAAGTGAAACTAAATGCAAGGAGTTTCTTGTTTTTGCGCAAAGTGCTTATGAATGACGTGATCGAACACCAATATTGAAGTATTCTCATTTAAAAAATATGAAAGATGCCAATCTCCTAATGAAGTGAAAGAGGCTTTAATGTTTCTTTATAATGAGTACATGTCAATCTAGTTGGATTTCGGATTCCAAATCTAAAATACCAGTTCATGTGTTATGGTATCATGAATATTTGATTGATACTGTAGCCATTCAACTCTAAAGAGCTGTGGTTAGTTTATATTGTGACGCGTAGACTGATTATACCACGTGATTGTATTCCAGTATCATACTGTAAAATTTTCAAAGATCTGATCGTCTTGCAATCAATTAGTGTACCAAAATATTGTACTAAGGATGTAAGCTGTCCATTGTACTAATTATCATCTTAATTAGAAACGAAGTTACCATAATTATGATTTGTCATCTGCTCAAAAGCATGAAAGCTACCACTCCAACCTTCTCTTTTGACCCTGTCTACTGGTGTAGCAGCTTGCAATAGTAAGGTACCAACTCCATGCAGCTTCTCTCTCTCTCTCTCTCCCCACAAAGTCCCTCTATAAATTTCATCAATCCAACCAAAGGATTCATCAAACCAAAGTCTTCAAATTTCAAGTCTTTTTCTCCAAGAAACCACATTATTATGGCCAACTCTTTGAGCTTCCTTCTAGCTCTTTCTCTTCTTGCATTTTCTCCACTATGTTTCTGTGACAAAACTCCTGGTGGGTATCTCTACCCACAGTTTTATGACCGCTCCTGCCCCAGAGCCAAAGAGATTGTCAAGTCCGTTGTTGCGAAAGCCGTTGCTAGGGAAGCCCGAATGGCAGCTTCTTTGCTCAGGCTGCATTTCCATGACTGTTTCGTGAAGGTATACGATCACAAAAAGTGTCCCAGTTGCTTCTAGTTACACGTACATCTATGTGAGTGAGGTACTTAAGATTGTGTTGCCACTTGCTACCTATTTTGCAGGGTTGCGATGCATCACTTCTGCTGGACAGCAGCCAGAACATAATCACCGAAAAGAGGTCTGTCCCGAACCAGAATTCAGCGCGAGGGTTCGAAGTGATTGACGAAATCAAGTCTGCATTGGAGAAGGAGTGCCCCAGCACGGTGTCTTGTGCTGACATTTTGGCTCTTGCTGCTAGAGACTCAACCGTCCTGGTAAGTGCTTTTACAAATTTTAGCTTTTTTTTTTAAGTTGCATGGTGTGTGACAAAAGCCTAAATTCTAACATATGCTGTCTGTCAATTGTTGCATAAAATTTTTAGACTGGTGGGCCAAACTGGGAGGTCCCACTGGGAAGAAGGGATTCAAGAGGAGCAAGTTTGAGTGGCTCCAACAACAACATTCCTGCCCCAAACAACACATTCCAAACTATTCTCACCAAGTTCAAATTGAAAAAGCTCGACATTGTTGATCTTGTTGCACTATCTGGTAAATTTTTTCCAACACACCATTTTATATATACTACATTGTTTTACAGAAAATCGGTGTGGGTCCACTATTAAACCTGATCTAACACCGATATTAATCTCAAATTTAACCTAAGGACAAAACCAAGAATTTTCATAGAAGTGGACTATAATTTATCCTTTTACAGTCTATGTTTGCTGAGCGATTGACCTTGTTCGGTGTTATTAAGGTGGAGTGGGCCAATTTTCACTAGGGTGAAATAGGTTTATTTTCACAAAATGGATAAACTTTATAAGAATGGATCTAGATCCTCTTTGATCTAAGGATCTTGAGTCTAGGGATCAATTAATCATGCCCATTGAAATTTGATCCAACGGTTACAAACAGGAGATCTTACTAAAAATTATAATAATTATAACCGTTGGATCAAATTTTAACGGACCGGATCAATTGATTCCTAAGCTCATAATCCTTAGATCCGGAGAGGATCTGGATCCTATAAGAATTAGCACCAAGAGATTCATTTCCCAATTTTCGCACTATGTTGAAGCCCACCCAGTCTGACAGTGGCTCCCTCTTTGCTAGCTTGTGTTAACCTACCGAATCTATTTAGATGTCGGGTTGTATCTCAAAAGACTTTGGTGCTATTAGTAATCACTAACGTTTAACTTGTATCTAGCCACACAAATCCAACATGCAAAATAAAAATTACCCAAATATTAACATGCCCTAAACTTTGTGTTCATGCAGGAAGCCACACCATTGGAAATGCCAGGTGCACCTCCTTCAGGCAGAGGCTCTACAACCAGTCGGGCAACGGCCTGGCTGACTTCACCCTCGACCAGTCCTACGCCGCCCAGCTTCGAACCAGGTGCCCGAGATCCGGCGGGGACCAGAACCTGTTCGTGATGGACTTTGTGAGCCCTACAAAGTTCGACAACAACTACTTCAAGAACCTGCTGGCCTCCAAGGGGCTTCTGAACTCGGACGAAGTTCTCGTCACGAAAAGTCAGGTGTCGAAGCAGTTGGTGCAGCAGTATGCAGAGAACAATGAGCTTTTCTTTAAGCAGTTTGCCAAGTCCATGGTTAAGATGGGGAATATTTCTCCGATTACGGGGTCGAGGGGAGAGATTAGGAAGAGCTGCAGGAAGGTTAACTCTTAAGCTTATGAGGGTGCTGGAAATTTCTATGGAGTTTTTTTTTTGTTTTTTTTTGGTGTGTGTGTGTGTGTGTGTGTGTGTATTTTGTGCTTTCAAGAATAAATTGTGGGCATCCCATGATGTAATTTAATGGAAATTGCCCTATTTTCCTTCATTCATTTGGCTTTTTGGAAAATTTCTTCGGTTCCTAGTCACATATTTGACCGTTGCATTTGATTTAGCTATATTTAATCACTTAATACATGCAATTAGATTAAATTTAACGATCAAATATGTGTCGATACTAAGCTCCTGTAAGTAATCAAGAAAAATCACATCTCATTAAGTCTATGTGTTAGGACTGAAAAATTGAGAAACATAAGACATAAGGTCGATTAGGACATTAAAATAAAAACTCACATGAACATGGGATTTTTGGGCCCCAAAACGGATTTGGGCTCATAATTGTTTTTACTTCACAAAGCCCAAACATAACCCTTCGTCCCCGTAGGGTTTAAGCCTGCAGGCTTCAGCTGGTTACTCCCAGTCGCGCCATACCAGTCACTCTTCACTCTTTTTCTCAGAGCTTCAAAACCATGGACGCACCAACCTTCTGAAATTCTATGCTCCGACGACAACCGCCATGCCCAGATAGCTTCCTCAAATTCCCTAAAATCGCATTCCCGAACCCAAAAAAAATGAGATATTTACGATTCATTTCCCCACATTTTTCCCGCATTCAAAATACCCTAAACCCCCCAAATCCTAATCCCATTTCGTCTCTCCAATCGAAGCCCCAAATTTTCTCTCATGTAGCGTGCAATTACACCACCGCTGTACCGGAGCAGAGGCCGCCGCCGTCCGAGTCGGTATCGGCGATCGCGGACGAGATCTCGGGCCTGACTTTGCTCGAAGTCTCGGACCTCACGGAGGTTCTGAGGGACAAATTGGGGGTGAAGGAGATGCCGGGGATGGTGATGATGATGCCCGGGATGGGATTCGGCGGCTTGAGGGGGGCCGGAAAGGGCGGCGCGGCGGCGGCCAAAAGCGAGGAGAAGGCGGAGAAGTTGGTGTTTGATGTAAAGCTCGATTCTTTCGATGCTGCGGTGAAGATCAAGGTGATTAAGGAGGTGCGGACGTTTACGGATTTGGGGCTGAAGGAGGCCAAGGACTTGGTGGAGAAGGCGCCTACGCTGTTGAAGAAGGGGGTTACGAAGGAGGAGGCCGAATCGATTGTTGCCAAGATGAAGGAGGTTGGTGCCAAAATTTCAATGGAGTGAGGTAATGTCTGGAATTCTGCTCTTGCGTTTTGTGAACTGGAATTTGAATGTGTGGTGTGCGTTGTAGTTTGGCATTAGGAGCTATAAACCCTTGAGCTTTTCGTTGTTTTTCGGGTATCATTAACCCGGAAAGTTTTATAGTATGTTGGTTTAGAATTCCAGGTTTGACCAATATGTTTAACATTAAAGTTGGAATTATGAGTTTGTCAATGGCGGATTAACTAAGCACTTGATTGACTTTTCACATAAATGAAGCCTTCCGGCTAGTCTTAGGCTATTTATTGTTCATATGTAAAGGTTACTGAGAATTTAGGGATGCTATATAGGTACTATGAGTTTCGAGTCATGTCCCGAATCCCGTGTTCATCCAGTCTCTAAATAGTGAATAGGTTTCCTTGGTATTTAGGGCTTTATAGCATGACCTTGTTGGGGAGCTGGAGAATGTCATAGAAGAATTAGTAGGAAAATCTGTGTTTACCTTGGAAATTATTTTAGTGTCCAAACGTGCATACGGCTACACACGTCGGTTTTGCAGTACACATAAGTTGACAATAGTGTCACCTAAGCAGCCAAATCACTTGTCAATGGTTTCAGGAAATGGCTTTTGGCAGCACTTGTTATCGTTGCACGTTACCGCACTCTTTTCTGGTTCGATGTGGTTATGCAACTTCAGTACCTGATGGTTTATATTTTCTTTTGGTGACTCTCCAGGAGGAGAGATGCCTGAAGAAGTTCAAGGTTTGGGTGGCAAGGATTGTTAAAATGTAGAGTGGTAAAATAGTGATTCATCACAGTGGAAGTGCAGTTAACCTAGTCTATTAGGAGACTGTCGGAGATCTTCATGATGAAAAGCATTCGTTTTTTGAAAGGCATTCATCGATACAGCTGCTTCGCTCATCTTTCTTAGAGTTAGAATGATGTATCTGCACAAGTTTTGTTTCGATTTGTTACATTCAGTCCTATCGTCTACTCCATTACGTTTACTTTACCAACTGTTGTAGACCTAACATTTTTGTAAATTGATTCACAAAGTTGAATTTATATCTACTTTGCTAAAGTTACACGGAGCATTTTGATAAATGGGTTCACAAAAATGATCTTGATCCATGTGTGCACCTCAAAATTACAAGTTGATCGAACCGGAACCAAATGAAACTTCATCGACATTTTAGAGCTTTTCATGCTGCAGTCCATATCTCAAACAGATGACAAAGCATAGCTTTCCAGTTGTGGATTCCTGCCATGATGGTTAACAAAGTGTTTCCAACCTACACTGGTAAGGGCATGAATATTATTGCGGACTCTTGTGGCCTTAAACATCATCTTGTACTCATTACCAGCAATGTCGTATGCTGTGATCCAGATTCCTTGTTTAGGGTCCTCAGACGGGTTCAACAACGGCAAGATATGCGTTTCCACATCACAATCCTTCAGCCTTAAGTCTCGCGTCGCATCGGTTTGTGCTAACTGCTTCTCAAAAGGCTTGCTGCATATTTGAATCAGGTGTTGGATGCTTGGGACCGGTGGGATATCAGGAGGCACGTAGTTGACGTTTTTATAAAAAGATCCCGGTTCCAGTTTTGGATGTTCTTGCTGGGCTTGTGGCGCAGGCAGGTTTTTGAAGTTATCATTAGGTACAGAGTTCTGAGTTTCAATGGCTTTTCTGGCTTGCAAGACATGAGGAGCAGCAGGTAATTATCCAAGAAACGGGTCAAGGGCCCACTTCCAACAACACCGATACTGTTCCCAACTTGGTAATTACTACTTGCACAATCCGTCGGGTGTGTTACAAAAGATATCGGTGTTAGTTAAGGTGGGGTTAGGATATTTAAACTATTATTTTTCTTTTTGTATAGCCAATGTGGGACTCAACAGGATGGAGTGTCGGAGGCTTGCTACTGGTGGCAGGAGATGAGGAGGTACAGAATTTCCATGAAGCCTACCTAGTCCAAGTTCTTGTTGTTCAGGCATTCCTTGTGCTGCAACGGCTTCTTGGGCTAGCACGGCAGTGTACGAGGCCGCAGGTTCTTGTCTTGTGAATGGTGGGAGATCATGAGGGACATTTTTGCGAATTCCGTAGTGCGAACCTATGCCTCTTTCTTGTGTCTGTTCGGGCATGCCCATGCCTCTTTACTTATCATCAATTTAACATATCTTTATACCATACTTACTACGGAGTGAATTCAAATACGATGAGTTGAAACTAGCAATTTTTCTTCCTATGCAACAAGTGCAATTAGGGTTTGGGTTAAAATTTGATCCAGGATTTGAAATTTGTGGACTAGTTATAATATTCGTCGGTCTAAACCATAGTTGCACTTTAGTATTATAAAAATTGGGAACTATGGAGTGCAAGTTGGATAGACAATTTTGAATTGGTTAATTTTTTACATGAAAGCTTTCAAATTTGGCGTTATCCGAATCAAATTTGACATCCGAAGTCTCGTATACCAAAAACTTTCGAGACAATTTGTATTAGAATTGAAATGTATGTCAAAATTCAGAATCCCAAAATTTATTGAGGTTTCAAAACTTGAATTATCCTCGGGTGACTAATTTCACTTCGAAAGATGGGACCCAATTAGTTTGAAAATAAGCCTAGTCGACACTGTCTAAGTACTGGTTTGGTATTGATATATGCTTTTATAAAAAAATAAGCATAAAAAAAAAAACTGAGCTAAAAAAAATGTTTGGTAAACATTTAAAAACAGCTTATTTTTATAGTTTTGGGTGAAAAAAAAACTGAAAACATGAAGCAACAAAAATAAGCTTATTCTCATATCACAACAGAAACAATTTTTTTTTTTTTTTAAAAACACATCAATACCAAGCCACGTTGCACACACAACGGCACGGTCTGGGTCACAGCTGAGGCCACTCGAGAGTCGAGAGGCAAAGCCAGCCACTTCGTTCCGCGTCAGTTGTCACCGGTAAAATACCTGGCGGTTTCGATTTAAAATCGTAAAACGACGACGTCGCGGTCGATTGCCGAGAAAACCCTGATCGCTTCACTCTTCAGAACTCAGAGCTGCGCAACTTAGAGTACAGTTCGTCTACTAAATCTGTCGTGAAATACAAATGTCGTCGGCGTCGCAGTGGCAGTGGGAAACCGCCACCGCCGGCGCCGTCGCAGGATTCGCCACCGTCGCCGCCATGCATCCCCTCGACGTTGTCCGTACCAGGTTTCAAGTCAACGACGGTCGAGTCTTGAATCTTCCGACTTACAAGAACACGGCTCACGCCATTTTTACCATTGCTCGAGCGGAGGTAAAAATCTATCCTCCTGCAAACGCCCCTGGGGGTTTTTTTTGTCAGATGATGATTTGGGATCACATTGCTTTGTGTTTTACAGGGCCTGAGAGGACTCTACGCAGGCTTCTCTCCTGCGGTTCTAGGTTCCACTGTTTCATGGGGTTTATATTTCTTCTTGTAAGTAGAAATGTATGTTTTTTCTAGTATAAAATTGGAGCTTTTTTATTTGATAAATATTGAGATATCAAAAGGGTTCGACTTTCGCAATGCAGTTGAAATTGGGTTGCTTTCAATTTTGGTCTTTTCATTGTTTTCAGAAGGAAGTTATGAGTGAACCGAAAACTTCTGTTGTATGTAGCTATGGAAGAGCAAAAGAAAGGTATTCTAAGGACAGGGAAAAGCAGCTGAGCGCTGGCCTTCATCTTGCTTCTGCAGCAGAAGCTGGTGCTTTGGTGAGTCTTCTGCTAACTTCGAATAATATGATTGTAGAAAATGTTAATGGAACGTTCGGTTGTTAATTATCAAAGTTTTATGCAATCCTGCTTGTCAGTTCTATCTGCATATTGCATATCGTGCCTATCATTGTTAGTTATCCAACTTTTTGTATGCTGAAATCAAGACACCGTTGGAGGGTGGGAAGTTAGGAAATCACATTTATATGTTTCAAACTTTGAAATTTTATATGAAGTGTTTAGAGGAATAATAAATCACTTTCCGTTTCTTTCTAATACTTTTAGAAGGTAGCCAGAAGTTTAGTGGATGGCTGCCTATAGATGATAGCAATCTTGTGATTTTGTCAGGTTTCTTTGTGCACAAATCCTATTTGGCTTGTAAAAACAAGATTGCAGCTTCAGACTCCTCTCCATCAAACTCGACCATATTCTGGGTTTTATGGTCTGCTTCTTATCTTACTTTAACTTGATAGGAATGACTGCAATATCCCCTTTTTAGTTCGTTCGGCTCACTTACTAGTTTGTTGCATGCTAAATATTCCTTATTTGTTAATTTGTGCTGAAAATAAACTATTATTGATGAGGACTTCTAGAATTGGAAGATAACCTATTTTATAAGATTGATCTGATTGGCTATAAAGTAAGACATAGACGATATGACAGGATTGTAATTGTAATGAAGTTTGCTTTGTTTTGACGCTAACTTGTTTTTAGAAAGATGAGCATAATGATATCAAGCATATACCAAACTGAAAACTTCCCGGTTCAAGGGAATTTGCAATAACTATCACCTAAAAACTTTTGCTCAATCATCTGTGACATGTCTGTTTTAGAGAATTTTTCTTCATGTACTTATGTTCATAACCTTTGTTTTACTTCGCTTTTTATTTTTCCATATCTCAGATGCCTTAAGAACCATAATCAGAGAGGAAGGGTGGGCTGCGCTTTATAAAGGCCTTCTTCCCAGTCTCTTTCTGGTATGCTTTTTGTCTATGATCTTATTGTGTTTTTAATGACTCTCTTTGTACAGCTTTTGTAGAGGATTAGGGGTTACTTTCTTGTCTCCCCACAGACACTAACAGCCTCTCTGTACAGCTTGTATGCATCACTAATTCACTACAAAAAAGAAATACCATATTCATAATTGTGATGTCATGACATGATTGTGGAAATTTATACTCGAGTTAATCTTCGTATTTTGTCGAATATTTGAGTTAATCAATGCAAAAGGAAACTGAACAAACATGTGAAGAATTTGTTATGGAAAAATATGGGAGTATCTGACATATCTAATGATTTACAATGCCGAGCGGAGAGATGGAAGTGCTTCTGGCGATTATTTTGTATTTCTAAATTTAATTGCATGTTAAGACTATACAAGTGCATTTGCATTAGAGTATACACATGTCTCAATTGTGCCAAAAAGTTTCCAGTCTTTAATGCTTTAGAGTTTGCAGCTTACAGTCTTCTTATTGTTTCAGCAGGTTTCTCATGGTGCTATTCAATTCACAGCATATGAAGAACTCCGTAAAATTGTTGTTGACTTCAAGTCTAAAAAAAGCAGAACGCATTCTGGAAGTGCTGATACAGTGCTGGTATTTATAGAATGGCTCTATTTCCATCTATACATCGAGAACTTCTGGATTTTTTTACTTACATTCCCATATCTTGTATAGTTCGCTATAGTGGTCCTTTTTGGATGTTGGAAAATTTGTCCTCTAGTCATTGGTTAGGATTTACTGCTCCAAATGAAGAAATCCCAGATTGGTGGGAAAATGAGATTTGTTCTACAAATTCGTAAACAAGAAAGAAAAAAAAATGTGGCTATTTGGGTAATAACAGGATTTGGATTATACTATAGTACGCATCTTCTGCTCAATATACCTGCCCATTCATGATTGAGAAAAGCACACATTCCTCGTGCCTGTTCATCTCCTCTATCTATGGTGTTAACATCGCAGCATGTTAAAGAGCGCCGTAGGATTATACACTACATATTTCACGAATGGGAATCCATCTTATCAAATCATCATCAGTTTAATTTCTTTTCATCTACACTTGCACTCACAGGGGAACAGTCGTTCAACTTTTTGTCCACTTTAGTTCATCTGAAGAATTTGGAACTTTTGCTTTATTGATTTACTTAATTGAGCATATTAAATTCCTGACGATGCATCTAGGAGAAGTATAAGTATTTGCACAGCTACTGCAATGTAGACCACCATTTGTTGCACGGTAATATATGTTTGTTGCTCTTTTGCCAATTAAGCAGCCTGGTTACGGAATCTTATGGCCCATTGGTTTTTGCACAGAATTCAGTTGACTATGCAGCATTGGGTGGATCATCTAAAGTTGCGGCCATTCTTCTATCATATCCATTCCAGGCACGCATAAATACATATTATTAGCTCTGGTGTAAAATTCTTCTAGATGTTCATTTCAATTTTTGATTATTACTTATGCAGTTTCGATGACCTGGTTTTTTTTTTCTTTTCATGTTTTTTCAGGTGATACGATCTCGATTGCAGGTTGGTATATCCATATATTTTTCCTCTTTACATGGTCTCAATATGTGCAAGTTTCTCCAGTCTGAAACAGTTTGAGCTTTTATTATCATGATGGGTTCAGGAAGATTACTGAAATCCCTTTTTACGTAACTTCTGAAGTTGCCCCTTGTGATTCTACATGTTTTATTCACTCGTATTCCTTATTAATGATTGGAACTTTCTAATGTCTCATTTTGTCAGCAACGACCTAGTAGCGAAGGAATTCCAAGATATATGGATAGCTGGCATGTAGTAAGGGAAACTGCACGGTAAGGATGAAATTTACTCTGGAAAAAGAAAAAAACAGACTAGTTATTGAAGGCATTAAGTTGGTCTTATTCGATAAACTCCCCTTTGATTTTGTCTCGGATGCTAACTTCTCTATTTCCATATCTTCCTGCTGCGGCTTGTAGGTTCGAGGGCATTCGAGGTTTCTACAAGGGAATCACACCAAATCTTCTGAAAAATGTTCCTGCTGCTTCGATCACTTTTATTGTATACGAAAATGTACTGAAATTTCTAAAATTGGCTAGAACGAATGAGTAAGATTCTTCTCTTCATCCTCAATTTTGAGTACTCTTTCTACATCAAACATTATTTCAGTTGAAATTTCAAAACTTAAGAGTATCGGAAGGTATTTTTGAAACAAGCATGTAAATAGTTGTGAATCGTATCACCATCGGACAAATACTTGCAAATGTCATACATTGTATTAACATTGAAAAATAGGTAAGGCAAAACTCTCACTTAGACTGGCAAACTCTATTCTGTAGAAAACTTGCGTAGGAAGGAAAGAATCTCGTCGGAGACTTCTTGAGCTTTCTCTTGCTGGATACAATGGTGGCCGTCTAAGATCACGACTTCCAGGTTCGGCACAAGACTCTTGAAAACACTTCCTTTTACATATTCCATTGTGCCCAGAACTTCAATACCAATGTCTTTGTCACCCACAATGAACTTTGCTGGAACATTAATCTTTGAACCTTGCCATGGCCCCATGAGCTCCCAGTACCTGTTTCCATTTCCAAAGTTAACAGCTGTCAAAAATTAGCAATAGCCATTGAATACTATCGAACGTTATGACCTGAGACTAAGTAGAGTATTAAAGTGATTGAGCATATCAACAATACGGTGCAAGCTAAATCAAGCGTGTGAAGTGATTGGTAAAGTTGATTTCTATGTTTGAAGCCCACAGATTGAGAGAACGGGACCACTTGATTTCAATCATACGACTCTCATTAGTCCATTCCACTGGGCCACTTTACAAAAATCCAAAAACTTGAACAGCCCGAATTTCTTTTTCTCTCTCTTGAATGGTCTGAATCTCTTGGTCTACGGCCTCCGGACATAGATATTAGGAGTGGATCTCATTTTGAATTAAGCACACCCAAGCCCTTCCGCTAGTAGGGTAAACCCGACCCAAAATTCGACCCATTTTGTTTTGTAGCAAATCAAATCACCAAATCAAAACCTAAAAGCCATTGAAGATTCTTTAGGGTTGACATTTGCAATTAAGCCAGCCCCAACACCAAACCAAACCGCGTGAAGAGAGATTAGGTCAGGTCACGTTCAAAGAGACAGGTGCAACAGGTAAACCAAGCCTGTGACATCGGAGTGGAAGATTCGAACTTAGGTGCATAGACGAGACCAACGTGGCTATACTTACATTTCAATTGTACGAAAATAATTGAGAGCACCAGTGAAGCCAGATTCCTCAAACTTTTGAGCATAGACTTGGAGGTCTTCTTCAGAAATCCATGGCGGCAACACTGCCGGTGTCTCCAGATAATCGATTATCTCCATTCCACGAGGAGCCACCAGATAATCTGTCTTGTTATACAGCAGGAACTTCTTCATCACCGTCAAATAATCGTATCTCGCAAACGATTTTTCTGCTCTTCCTGGCTCCTACACCATAGAAAATCCAATCATAAAAACACACATTTGTTAAGACACAATTTCTACATGTTTGTGTTTTGCTGTAAAAGAACCTGAAACTGATGAACGTAACACCCCTCGCCGAACAGCTGCCTCATCGAATCGGAATTCCTGGTGCTTGAAGACCTTTCGAAGTATGGAGCAGATAGTGCAACGACGGCCTTGACTCTCTCGGGCTTGAGAAGGCTCAGGTGCCAAGCTGCAATGGCTCCATAGTCATGTCCCACCACAAATGCCTTTTCCAACAAGACACACAAACGATCAAACTCTCTTGCTAAAAACCCAACTCTCCGCTTTGTTAGATCGTAGTTCAAATCTCATGAACAACAATTGTTAAGTAAAAGAAACAATCAGAGAGAGAGAGAGAGAGAGAGAGAGAGAGAGAGAGAGAGAGAGAGAGAGAGAAAAACCTGTTGTCCACCAAAATGATCAAGGAGGCCAACAAGGTCGCCGACGAGGTGGAGAATGGAGTAGGAGGTAGGGTTGAGAGGGGCATCGGTGTCGCCATAGCCTCTCATGTCAGGAGCAACAACATGGTAGCCATGCTTAGCCAAGAAACCGATCTGGTGGCGCCACGAATACCATATTTCCGGGAAGCCGTGGAGGAGAAGCACCAGAGGCCCTGTCCCTTGCTCCGCTATGTGCATCCATATTCCATTAGTTTTGATCCTCTGGTGAGTCACCTCATCATTCATATTTCCTGAGAGAGAGACAGAGAGAGACAGAGAAAGAGAGAGCGAGAGACAGAGAGAGTTCACTATTCTATGTACAATTTGCAGAAAAATGATTGGGAGGTTGGTGACTTGAACATTCTGGTTGTCAAACAGTCAAAGATGACAAATTTGAATCAGACCAGAGAAGGGTAACGTGTCAAATGCTATAACCTGAGTTATGGTGTAGAAAGGTACAATTTGTTGACCCAATTACTAATTTTATGTAAATGTGATTAAACTAGTTGGTCGGCGTATACCTTCTTATATTTAAATTCGAATCTTCCTTTAAATAAATTAATATAGTTTAAAATATCGTCTTGTAAAAAGAATATACTAATTAAGGATGATTTCATTTACTCAAATTTTAGTGCTTTTCTATGTCATTTTCCTAGTACTGACATCCAAGAATTTTGCTTCTTTCTTGTATAGAAAAGTGTTTTAGTTATGGTTTTTTCTGTGTTTCACCATGCCCTTGTGATTATATTTTGGAAATGCGACATCTGCTTACATCACAATATTTTTTTCTTTTATGTTCTGATTTGGGTTTTCATATCACGGATTGTTCTCTCTGTGTACATATTAAGGGATGATTTTTTAACCAAAATGGTTTTTGAGATTAGCATAACTCTTCATTTTGGTCATTGAGATTTAAAATCGATAAAATTAATATTTTGTTATTTTGGTCTTTTATTTAACAGAGATTTTCATGGAATGACGAAAACGATTGATTGTGGACAAATTCAGGGACCACTTCTATAGTTTTCAAATCTCAGGGACCAAATTGAGAAGTTATGTCAATCTCATGAACTATTTTGACTAAAAAGACCGCCATATAGGATTGCATTGAACTGATTTATACTGAACAGTAAATTGTATTGGATTGTATTGTAATGTGTCAAGTTTCTGAACTTCTTTTGTGGAACAAGGTTTAAATCCTTCCTCAAACTAACTAGTTGATTTTTTATTGTAATTGAATCCAAAGAAGTTTACAGAACTTCTCACTTTAATCCTTAACATTGAAAATTGATCGATATCATCCTCGATGATATGATCCGCATCAATGTTGTCCCTACCCTAGAATTCCATGAAAACTTCACCAGTAGCGATCACATGAGGTTATAAACAGATTTCTAACATGTCTTAAGAAGAACAACAATTATACAGAATGCAGAAATTATCATTGACGCAGAAACACACTAACACGTTTCACTGATCTGCAGGATGTTCACGGAGGAAGGAAAGTATTTGGCAGGAGACTTCTTGAGGGTTCTCTTGTTGGATGAAATGGTGGCCGCCCACAATAACCACCTCCAGGTCCGGGACAAGGCTCCTGAACTCATCACCTTGCACAAATTCACTTGTTCCACCTGATTTAAACCCGAAGTCTTTGTCACCGATCATGAACTTAACGGGTACCATGATTTTCGATCCTTGCCAGGGCGCAAGCAGCTCCCAAGTCCTGTTTATCATGGTAAGTAGTATCACTATCAACCAACAAAACAAAAAGACCAAAAAGGAAGACAGGACAGGAGGGTTGGCTCCATTTTAAGCGAAGATAAGTTAGTTAGAGCAGTGTGTTCCCCTGTCTACACCAAGTTCGAATCACCCTTTCCCCAGTTTAGATTAGTTTAGAATATCACTCAGAATCAAAAAAATTATTCTCTGGTTTTCTTGGATATAGAAGCCGGTAACTCGAGTATATTCTAATTGCAATTTGGATTAGAACAAGTCTTCAAGCATATGGTGGTTGTACCTAAGGCATATTTTTGAAGAACAATTTCAGCTTGGGAATACACAGAGAAATTTCTATAACTTACAGATCCATTGCGCGATAGTAGTTCAAAGGACCGGTGAATCCAGACTCCTCAAATTTTTCGGCAAAGACCTGGATATCCTCTTCAGTTAGCCATGCCGGCAGTGAAGATTGTGTCTCCAGGTAATCGATAAACTCCATGTCCGGAGGAGCTATCATATTATTGGTTATCAACAGGAACTTCTTCATCACCGTCATATAGTCATACCTCGCGAACGCTCTCTCCGCTCTTCCCGGTTCCTTCTCAGCCAAGAAACAATAATTAAGTGAGATATGCATACATATATTTGTTAGATTGAGAATTTGGACCACACATTCAGGTAAGAACTCAATCAGTAACAGTCTGACAACATAAATATTTCGGGCGGGTGCGGAGTTTGATACAAACATCTGGAGAGAAAGGAAGTACCTGGAATTGAATTACATGACATCCTTCACCAAAAATTTGTCTTATGGCTTCGGTAGTTTTGGTTGTTGGAGATCGTGGAAAGTATGGAACTGAGAGATTAACCAGCGCTATGACTCTATCAGGCCTAAACAAGCTCAAATTCCAACCAGCAACTGCTCCCCAATCATGTCCCACCACATATGCCTTCTCAAATCACAAACCATTACATACGGTTCTCAAAAATCCTTAAACCCCTCACATACATAACAACATGGGTATGTTCATATAACGTTTTAAATTTTCTTTAATTGAGGTTCGATAAAGGAAAATGATTTCCGCACAACTCTTTTCTTTTTCTACAGAACCTGTTTATTTTTGCCCCTTAGTTCTTTGTTTGATTTTATTCAATCGAAATGTCAGAATATACATGGGAGGAAAAAGTCGTGCGGAGATCACTTCATGTTGAAAAAAGCTTCTCACCTTTTGTTGACCAAAATGATCAAGTAGGCCGATGAGGTCTCCAACTATGTGGAAGATGGTGTAGGAGTTGGGGTTGAGAGGAGCGTCAGAGTCGCCGTAACCTCTCAAATCCGGCGCCACCACGTGGTAGCCGTTTTCCGCCAAGTATTCGATCTGGTGGCGCCAGGAATACCAGAGTTCTGGGAAGCCATGAAGCAAGAGAACCAGAGGACCTGTCCCTTTTTCTGCTACATGAAGCCATATTCCGTTGGTTTTGATCCTCTGGTGATTCACCTCTATCATGAAATCCATGGTTGTGAGAGAGAGAGAGAGATTGAGAGAGAGATTGGTCAATGGCCTGCGGAATGATGAAGATGCTAATATACATAATTTTTTAAAAGTAGTTTTAACAAATATTTTCGGTATTGTTTATTTTAACGAAAATGATATTTTTATTCTAAAAAGTCACTCCTAGTACAATTTACTTACAACATATTTTTGTCATTTTGATTAAAACTGAAAATTTTCAAATTATTTTTATTAATTTTCCTTAATTTGATTGTTTAGTCGTCAAAGGGTTGTTGTAGTTGGTAGATTTGAAGGCGATAGTGTAATAGTAAAAGATGAAAACTTTGAGACGGCCTAAATTAATTGGTTTAGCACCAAATAAACTTTGTCAACAATTATTTTGTACTTTATAATCTTTAAGATTGCTCCGTTTTTAAGGGTTAATTACACCTAGTACCCTTAGTGATGTGGAGCCAAAGTCAATATAGGCAGCCTTTGAAGATTCTGCAAAATATTGAAATACTTTCCGGGCCCACAATGTGCTTGTTCCCTCGCACTCAAGTTAAAATCTCCCTTTAATTCCACTTAGTAAGCTGTTCTGCAGGCTATCGGGGCTGCTCTACAGTGGCGGCTTTGTGATTCTCTACCTTCTTCTCGTACTCTTTTCAAAGTGATTGAAACCAAAAACGGAACAGTCGCAGCAGTACTAGTAAACTCGGCATCTGCTGCATTGTTTTCATATTGGTTTTTATGCCTTTGCTTCCTCAGTTTTCTCTTAAGACTTCCATTCACGTTGGCGCTGCAGATGCTCTTCTTCCTCATCTACTCCTCTTCCTTCTTTTTGGTGTCCACCTTCTTTTTCAGTGCATCTAGGCGCGATGTGTCTGCCTTCTCGTCCGCAATCTTTATGAGTTTCTTCTCGCCCAACAGAGTGAAGGCATTGGCGAAATTCGCCATAGAGGGCTCAATAAGGCTTGGCTTGTAGTGTTTCTCATCATAAGATCAGAATACATGAGAAGAAGGGTTTGGCCTCTCTCTGCGCACACACACACGAGTCGGTTATTACTTCTTCCCCAACGAGAACCATAAAAGACCTTATTCCATGAGCAAAATGGACAAATTTGGATAAGGAACGAAGATAATTTGATTTTTGTTGAATTTTTAGATTACAGACGTTTGGATCTTTCTTAAGCAACGCACAAAATGATCTTTGTTGCTTGTAAATTAATTTTATTTAACCCACTAACGCTTTGTCAAATACAAAGTGTTCAGTTTCACAGTCTACTATTGTTCCACAAGAATTTTAACTAAACGTTTCTCCCTCTGTCCCTCATATGTTGTCCTTATTGCCAATTGGCAGGCACAAAGTTGAGAGACTCCACCGCCCTTCTATCACCAGTAGTTACTTGGAAAGACAAACTTTTTCCTTCCAAACCTCCTCCAGTCTGCCAGTTTTGTCCCCAGTTACGCGTCATTTGTATCCAACCAGTGCTCAAGCCTTTCACTTTTACATCGACCACTTCACCAGCCCCTCCAACGTTGCATACCAACGCAAGCAGGAAATTAGGGCTCCCACCGAGATAGAACTTGATCCCTCCCAAAAGCGAATGGGGACAATTCCGGCGGCCACGAATTTTGCAATCTTTAGAAACATTGGTTGGGAGAACTCGAAGTGTTTTGAAGGAGGATTGCACCAATTTGCACTAGGATTTTTGGATGGAGGACACAAGTTGGTTGCTGTTACTTTGATGGTGCCTGGTAGGCACCATTTTGGATCATCCACGCACGTAACCTCGAAACAAGCCCCGCAAGTTTGGCCATTGTTGAAGAGAGCAGAACTTAGGGCTGTCGTTTCCACCCGGTAGCCTTGTTCGTTGGTATCTGTGTATATCCACAAGCTCACCCTAATCATAGTTGAATGCATGAAAGATCCAAAGTCGGTATTGCACTAGAGATAAAATTGGACTAGTACATATTAGGTTTTGGTTTGACTAATATTAAACGTACGTATTTCGAATAATAACTTATTTCTTCACAAAACACAATCAAACTAATCAAAGGTTCCTCCGCCCTGTTTATCATCATAAAATGTTACATGCCCGTTAAGCCATCGGCCGATTGCCGCGCCAAAGTTGATGATGACAATATTGGCAATGAACATGATACATGCTGGTACAAACTGAGAGTTAGCCATCACGACAATATCCAAGTATGCAATTCATGGGTAGGCGAACTTGGTAAAGCGCATTTATATTGTTATGGTCATCAGTGGTTCATGATCGATCCAATTCTTTGTGCAATATATGTTTATGTCAAATTCTATGTATGATTTGATAACCTATTTATCTCTATATATAAAACCAACAACTCCTTTTGGGGCCAGGGGCTTCACAAAAATTTTTTTGACAAAAATATGCCCCCCAAACCAAAAAAGTCAAAAACAGCCCAAAATAATGCAGGGGTATTTTTGTCATATAAACAATGTTTTTTTAATAATTAATTGGCTTTTTAGCCAAAATGGTTCCTGAGATTTGCATAACTCCTCATTTTGGTCCCTAAGATTTCAAATCAATAGAAGTGGTCCCTGAGATTGTCCACCATCCATCATTTTGATAATTCCGTTAAAAACTCCGTTAAGTGTCCTGGAGCTATTGGCTGGAAGTTTGGGCAATTTTCAAAGCTTTGTAACTCAATCGTTTCTTAACCAAATTTGACCCATAATATATCAAAAGGAAGATAGAAAAGTGTAGAATAAGATTATATTTATTTGGAAGCCCAATGGTTGCCGGAGATGGTCGGAAAATAGCCTCAAAGTTGACTGGTCCAAGGGAAAACTGGAAAACTCGCCGGAAACTGGGCAAACTTTAAACATTCATAACTTCTTCAATACGCAACAAAATTAAGTGATTCAAAAATGAAAATCTTACTTCTCAACGACACGAAGAGAATGATACCTTTTTAAGCGGCTAAATCTCCGTTGTTTGGCTGGAAAACGGCTCGAAACTGACTAACTAGGTTGAGTATTATCTTCGTCTCGTCTAGAAGTATGATTTTCATTTTTGAATCACTTTATTACGTTGAGTATTGAAGAAGTTATGAACATTTAAAGTTTGCCCAGTTTCCGGCGAGTTATCTAGTTTTCCCTCGGACCAGTCAACTTTGAGGCTATTTTCTGATCATATCCGGCAACCATTGGGCTTCCAAATAGGTATAATCTTATTTTACACTTTCCTATCTTCATTTTGATATATTATGGGTCGAATTTGGTTAAAAAACGATTGAGTTACGAAGCTTTGAAAATTGCCCAAACTTCCGGCCAAAAGTTTCGGGACACTTAACGGAGTTTTTAACGGAATGACCAAAATGATGGATGGTGGACAATCTCAGGGACCACTTCTATTGATTTGAAATCTCAAGGACCAAAGTGAGGAGTTATGCAAATCTCAGAGACCATTTTGGCTAAAAAGCCTAATTAAAATCTTTTGTACAGTTTTTTTTTTATTTTTTTTATAGTACCTCACAATAGGTTAGCAATAATGTGATTCAATCAGTTGTTTATTAAATATTATGTTCTTTTTTGAAACACGTTCAATACATCTTAAGAAGCGTGTAGCGTTGGTTATAAAAAAAGGTCTTTCGTACACACATAATAATGTGATTCAATTAGTTGTCAAATGATTTTTTTTTTCCGAACAAATGATATTATCTACATTAAAGAGGGGGGGTGAGCTTAGCCTCACAATGAGTTAGTAATAATGTGATTCAATCAGTTGTTTATTAAATATTATTTTCTCTATTTTAAACACGTTCAAAACATCTTAAGAGACGCATACTACCGATGATAAAAAAGGGGAAGTTTGGAAAAATAACCAAAATTTGGACTTCAAATAGAATTATAGCTATCCTTTGAGATTTATGATAAGTATAATCAAAAGTTGATATAAAAGTACTAATATATCTTTACATAATAATTGTATTAAAATAAAAACTCGGGAAATGGATATTTAAATCTATTTCCACTGCAAGTTCAAAGACAAAACATACCAAAATCATATAATGCAGAAGAGAAATGCCAAATAAAAAATGATACTAAATTCAAAATCGACAAAACCCAACTTATGGATAATCATCTTCTTTTTTATGCTAGTTAGATGCCCCAAACCTGTAAAAAAAATTGCGAAATGTAAACGAATCAATGTGTGTGGTGGGGTGGTGCCGCAGTAAATCTATATAGACATGCTCTCCAAGTGGTATCAGACATGAGTGTTCACAGTTGAAGCAATCTTCCTCAGTTGTCCACGAGGTATTCGCGGAAACAAATGATGTTCGATAGGTGTTGCCGGAGAAATGACTCGATGTGAACTGGATGTGCTAGAGCGATGTCAATGAAAATGTTGCTAGCACAAACATAACACTCTCACTGGGCAAACACGAAACGAGGAGAGGAAATCATGTTCAAAAAACTAGGATACCCATGATGTTCAATCCTTTATTCGGGACATTCTGCCTCGAAAACAAGAGCAAGATGTCTGGATAAACAAATTAACCCTCCCCACCATCTTAACCAGATAACAAGTTTTGTTTATCACACAAATCAAACTGAGAAAATCCTTGTGTTTGAGTTTTTTTGGATCTGTATTCAAACACTCCCCTTATCTCTCAATTTCTATTTTAAGGGTATATTAGTATTTTTATATCAATTTTTGGTTATAATTATCATAAACTTAAAATTGTGGCTATAATTCTACATGGGGTCTAAATTTTGGTTATTTTTCCAAATTTCCCGTAAAAAAAAGGGTTTTCACACGCTCACAATAATATGATTCAATTAGTTGTCAAATGGTCTTTTTTTTTTTTTTTTAACAAACGATGCTATCTACACAAATGGGTGGATTCAGCTGCTTTGAATACACATTATATGCATGTTCCCCATGTTTTCATTATGTTTCAATACTTCATAATATATATATGTCATTCTATTTTGTATTTTATAAGAAATTATATATATTTTAAGTATAAACAAACACTTATTTACGCTA